ATTCATAATTATCCTTAGCCCTTTACACCCTGACATCAGTATGCATATTCTCCATACTCTTTTCTTCATACATTTCCTTCAGTGCTGGCAAGGAGAATTTTTTTTGATGATCAAAGCTTCTTAACTTGCCCATCATTTCCTTTATTTTCGTGATCTTAACAAATTATTTGGCAGTGTCACTGTATGGAGAAACTGGATGCTGGTCACTATTTAGTTCTTTTTAACCGAGTGTGAGGTCTCTCTAGGAGAATCTTGACCGAGGTTGCCAGTACAGACCAAACGCAATGAGGTCTGTACAAGCGACCAAGGTCAAGATTTTCCCATACAGAACGACCTAGCTTGGTTAATAAGATGTTTATTACATGGCTGTGTCTTGTATGCCAATTTTTTATATTCTTTGTACCTTTTTTTTCTAGACCGGTATAGATGCCGGTCTAGATGGGAAAAGCTAGACCACTATCAACATTGATTTCAGCCAATCAAATTTGTGAATTTGGTAGTTCCCAGTCCTTGCGAGACACAGCCATATAATAACAGGGTTTAAAGTTAATAGATAAATACTTATTCAATATGCAAAAAATGTTTAATAGGGCTACATAAATGTTCCATAAAAAAATATTTCAACAGAGTTAGTAAGGAATACTTACTTCTGTAACATCCATTATTTTGATGGCTGCAAGCTGCCCAGTTCTCTTGTGACGACCCTAGATTTGTTAAGGAAACAAATATTCAAATTTGTTTCCCATGCTTTAAATACTGAAGTTCACAAAACCTCAAGTAAGTACCAAGCTTGACTGAGAATAATGCGAGTTTTTCTGATAATTCATTCAGAATTGACCGTGATCATAACTATCAGAGGGATAAAAGAATTTCTTTTTGTCTTCTGCTCATCATAAAATTCAAAATGTTCCTCTCTTTGACAACTGAGTTCAGACAAAGGGCTACCGCTTCAAAGGTCAGCTTGAGAAAATCTTTGCAGTCATCAAGTTACATTATCATCTCAGTTGATCAAACCTAATTATTTTGTTTCAATAAAATATAAATAGGGTTGAAACCCAACATCAAGTTAACATTCTCTCAGTGCAATTGGCAGAGGATCCAACAGAGTAAACCACTGCGCTAGATTTGTCATCAACATTATTATTTCCTACATAACAATCCTTCAGATATAAATCACATGTTAAAACCAAATCATAATTGAAAATTCTGCCGTAACATAAACAAGTTCAAACAAAACATGCTGGGATGTCATGGAACTTCTTTAAAAACAGCTCAACTTAAAGTTTTAAGTTACAGAAAGCAGCAACTTGAATACTGAAATGTTCCCAAAAATCACTGTTCAGTGTTACTGCTTGAGTAAAAATAAAAATACTGCCTGTTTCACAGAAAGTTGAAAGTCTGGTTGCGTCGTTTAACTGGGCTGAGGAACCAATTATCTATTTACTATAAAATTGGAATAATAACATTTCATAATGGGTAATTATCTTTAAAATTGTTTCCAATTGAGTTAATTTAAAAGAACAAAGAACACTGACTGACATGTTTTGGTCCTTCTGTTCTAGTAAAAAAGAATGAAAGCCACTCTATCCATAGGATAACTTTGGAATCGAGAGAAGTTTCATTAATTAAGAAAACTTAATGGCAAGAGATTACTTTTCCGTTCTCGTCTAACGCAAACATTTTCGGTATGGTGAGCAAAAGCTACTTCAAACTTTCTACATCTGTTTTTAATAAGAGGGAGCTGAAATGAGACATCCATTCTATGGGGTTGGTAATGAAACTGAAGGAATGAAAACAATAATTTCTTTCATCACATACCATTTTAAGCTCTCCTTAATCCTCTCTGATCCTTCAGTATATGGGGTTTAGCGTGCAACAGAAATTCTTATCTGCCACTTAGCATCAATAATTTATCAAATACATGATCAGAGAGGAAATAAGAAGTCTGACAAGAAAGAAGTCAATTCTTCTGTTAAATTGTTATCATGCTGTTAAAAAACAAAGAGCTGTCTTAAAAACTGGCTAAATGAACACATAATTTTATCCTTCGAGAGCGAAAGATTTTTCAGTTCTCGATTCAAAGCTAAATAGTTGAGCTGACAAATTATCAACCATCACATTGTCTTGAGAACATTCGCATGAAAATCGTCCTTAATTTTGCTATAAGCCTGGTTATTCTGCGACTAGGAAATCGCAATTAATTCTAGAACAAAAGAAACGTATTCTTTATTTCAATCGCATGAAAAATTCACACGAAAAATGAAATGCACAGGAATTGTAGAATAACGAGTTACCGGGCTAGAAATGATTATACATCGCGAATTGATCAGGCAATTTTATCTAATATCCTCTCAGAAATACCTTGTGTACTTGCCCATACGTTCCATTCCCAACAACTTCGACCAGATCGAATATTCCGGCCGGATCCTGCAAAGGCAATACCTATTACTTAGCTTTGTTATAGATTACAGGCAAGATAAAGAAATAGATAAAGCACAGTAGGTAAAATCAACGGGATTTCACGTTAGAATTGTCTGGACAACGGCTTCTTCGAGTAGATCGCACAAAAAAATTACATCTCATAAATATATCGCCGAAATGTCACCATGCAATGAGAGCTCTTAGGATTACACATTTCTTCTCAGTTCAATATCTTCATCAACCTGTGAGTTCACCGGTCTTAGGCGCTCTTAAAATACTGCGAAATCAATTGCAAAAGATCTTTGAATTCAGCCCCCAAAAAGAGATTGTCAGGGCATAAAGAGAAACCTAACTCACCTTCAGCGCAGCCAAATCAATATCGTCCAGTCCGTATGCCATGTTGAATATCTCAAGCGATGAATTTACGACCGCACTGTTCACTGAAGAATTTGAACTTCCAACGAGTCGCTAAGCCACGCACGGGAAGCTTGTCACATCCGAAGAAAGCTCACGAGTGTTGCGCTACACCTCAGCCCACAAACTCTCCTATGTCCACAATACGCATCCGTTTACATTGGAGTGTTTTCAAAAAACAAATCAACCCATGCAGCTCATGCAAAATATATACAAGGGCAGAAGAACCATAGAGCTCTGTTCATAGGAAAACATTCGGAGCCATACTCATAACAAAGCGGAGGGAGGGGCTTGGAACGGGTCACGTGATATCATGCAGAGTCGATGGCCGCTGACAGGATAGCGTTATCTGACCAATGCGCTTTCACTTTGAACCTGAATTGAACTACACACACGTGCGCTGTAGAACGGAAATTCTTTACTGGGCAGTTCTCCTCAAAATGCAAGGGAGTGGTAGGTATTATCGCAGTGATAAACGTAAACACTAGGTGCCTTCTTTGGGAGTGGGGGTGGATAAAGGAGTGCAAATTCTTTTGATTGTTACATCAGAATGCGCTTTCTCCATAGTGTCTTCCATGGATTTCCCAAGCTGCTAACAAGGAAAATATGTTAAGCAATCCAGAACTTCTTTAGTTCGTGATCATTTCCTTCATTCTTGTGACCTCATGTTTGATTCAGTGATGATATTGTAAGAAATTAGATTGTACTCACTCTGAGGGGTCAAAGGTTTTAAGAACAAGAGGAGAAAAAAGAGAGGAGAAAAAGGTCATGGCGACTACTATTAAGTTTCCTCGGATAGCGTGACCTTCAAGTGGGAAACAAAGTACAGATTCGTATCAGCTGCACGGAAGCTGTTGCTAATAACAAAAGTGACCTCAACTAGGATGACACGCTTCTCCCTGCCTACTTTGTTTACAAAGTCCTGCAATTAGTTCCTCTCCCCTCTTGCTCTCATCATGTATAGATTTTTCTCTCCATTCTTCTCCCCAATAACTTCTCGTGGAATGGGCCAGAGGACTCAGGAGAAGGGGCTGGGAGACTGTGTCGCGAACTCTTCTCAAAATTAAAAATTTGTTTAAGCGTAGTTCTATTCCTTGTGAATTGATAGGAAAAGCTCTAGGAGGCTGTCCTCTTAAGAAAACACACACACACACACACGAATATTACGCGCTGACTTGTCCACTTATTACTGATTTCATACGACAAAAGGAGATAAATTTGGAGTCTGTCCACCTGATACAGTTATCCGCTAAATGCCGATTCAATTTACCGGTGGATGAGGGGTTCGCTTGTTACAAGCCTAGCTGCACAAGAAACAGATTATTCGGTGGTTTTCCGTAACATTACAAACTCAATTACCACTATAACGGTCATAATTTATTGGCTTCTGACATCAAATACAAATAACTTGACTGCCTTGGCAGTTAACTCTCCCCTTGAAACAACCTATTTTTAAAACAACAAATTAAAATAATGAATTCAAGTTACTGCATGGACAGCATGTCTTGATCAAACATGCTGCCTTCTAAGAGCACAATTCATAGATTTGTGAGGTTAACTAGTGAGATTTAAGTTAATTTTGTTCCAAAGCAGCCTGAATTCAAAAGCTAGGAATGTTGTCATAAGGTTGTAGGTGATAACATGACAACCAGCTGTCACGCAATTCTTCTATGCAACACGCAAGCACCTATGGAACAAAGTTAGCTTCGATCAAAATTATAGCTACGTTAAGATTTCCTTAAGGTCTATGTAAATAATACATTTTCATAAGGCTACTTGCTGTGGCCTGGTTTATAACTTCCTTTGCTGTTCTTTTCCCGTTCATCAAAGAAAATAAATATCTTAGATACTGTTAACAGTACTATGATTAAGAATTTAGAGTTGCATCAAAGCATGATTGCATTGAAAACCATACCCTAACCCAAAGTTGTTTACTAACTGATGACACATTTATAAAAAGAAAAGGGAAACAAACGTTTCCCATCTTATCGTTTCTGCAATGCACCAAAAATTCAGATCATCAGAATAAATTACATGTTCTCAGCTTTTGTATCAACAGTTTCACAAGCTGCAAATTCCTAATCCAAGATGATCGTCATCAAATATCAAAATAGGCTAAGTTTTGGTCACAACGACTTTCCAACTTAAACAACTATTTCTTTTCTAGTGATCAATTCCACTTACTTCTGGACTACTTGATGCTGGTTATCTCATGTCCATACAAAACTTATTTCACTTGGACTTCATGAATGGAAATTTGCTCACTTTTGCTTGCATGACAATGCATTTAGATAACCACGCAAGATTTTTGTAAATAAAATATCTTTTAAAATTACTTGTTTAAGAATTAGTGCTTTTTTTCAAAACGGGAACACTTCTCTCCTGATACTTACTATGAGATTCTTAAATATTTTGGCGACATAAGTTTTCTTAGTTCAGCAGATGGTTGCAATATTACAAAACAATTCTTCAGTGGACAACTGTAGTATTACAAAATAACATTATCTCAGTATGACTAAAATGTGTTTGTAAATGGCCCTTATACACACTGTGAAACTCAAAATTTACAATAAAAACTATCTGTTTCTTTCTTCAACCAAAGAAATGAGTAACTACTGTACAACTATAACCTTGTGAACAGTTCTCTTGATGTTCACAAAGTGTCCTTCTCATAATTTTTTTTTTAATTAGATATTTTTTTTGGCAAGTTTCTAAACTAATTCTTAAAGATATATTACATTTTCTTTCAGTATAAATTCAGAAATTTGTGACAAGGGCCATGGTCACCTATAAATACAAGAGATTTTCAGATGCAGCATTTTTTTGAGTGCATTTGAATCCCTGGAGGAGAACACTCATTTGAACTGATTTGAACGTTTAACCTAATGGTATTGTAAATAGGTATATATGTACTCATACTAAAATATCCATGTTGAGTTAACTGGGATGTATCTTAAATTGTGGAGTCCACTATGATTACCTTTATCCACTTTGTTTCTTGTAATTGCAACTAATTCAATAGCCTTAGTGTAGCCGTATCCTCCCCCACACGGAGATATGGTTCTCCTTTGGAGGGGAGGGGTACGTTACACAGAGGTTACTAATTCAACTATATTTTCTTTTACTGTGTAACACATTATAAGCTAGTTATGATAATAATCTGAAAAAAAAATTTAAGAGCTGTTGGAAATCAATGGTTTAGAGTGCAGAGAAAAGCTTTTTTCACTGAGCAGGAAATAAAACAAAAATTTCTGAAAGTAGCCACAAGTAAACTTGGACCTTTACACAATGGCCAAGTTCAAACTATCAATATGGAGCTTTCATAAAACTTCGGATCTTTTTTGCCTCTACAAGTGGCCCCCTATAAGATCTCTTGGTTCAAATAAACTTCAAGTTGATGACTATCATATCTGTGTCACTATGCATAGAACAACCTTAAACATAACTTTCATAGCGTCGCCAAAGATATATAAATACTCAGATTGTTGTGTTCCATAATCTGCCTATTCTATCATGTGTTGCTTGAACTTGACATTTCAACAACTTGGACTGGTAATTCTTGACCATACTTAAAAAACAACAACCCAACAACAACAGGAGATAAATGGCATGTTAGTAAGCAACAGTCTGAACAAACTGAGTAAGCCAACTGACTTTCTCCATGGTGCTCCTTAAAGAGTTTCTTAAAAATCATGAACAGTTGAGAGAGTTCAACATCGAATAACACTGCACATTTTCATGTGCTTTGACCTCACAGCCAGAGACCTTTCACAGTCACCTGACCTGTAACAGTGACGATCCACACTGCAAACCACTGAGACTGAAATCCATCACCAGTCTTCTTCAACAACATTCCACCAATCACTCAAAGATGCTTTATTTGATGCCAGATATTGCCAATGCAACAGTCCCAAATTTAACTTATTTCATCGAAGGCAAAACAAATGCAGTAAATTCCTGTAATATCAACAAACAAAGAAAAGACAAGAACTTGTTGTGAAAGCCATGTAGCAGCTAGTTCCACCAATCCTGAGAAGCGTTGCCACCAGAATAGCGGTTTGGATTCCAGTAACCACCTGCTCCTCCCCCATAACCATAGTGGGCTCCACCCCCACCCCCACGGTGATGAGGCTGCTGCCTGTAATCACGGGACCCAAAGCCACCAGCTGAGTGCCTGCTGTTGAAAAAAAAAAAAAAAAGTTAGAGAAAGAGAGGTCATTCAATGTTAATACTATTCATACTGCTAAAAATTGTTTGGGTTGCTTCTATTTATGCCACCTCTGTAAACAAAAGATAAACACCTCACATATCTGTGGGACATTAGGCTGAACACTTGGAGAAGGTTTAGACATGTTATAAATGTGACTAAAAGTGTTGATATTCATAAAGGAAATAGTTCCTGAGGGTAAACCTACATATTACCTCAATTTCTCCAGAGAGTTAACGACAACCTGTTCTCACCAATGGTTAGCCTAAAAAAAGCATTGGGCCAAACATGGCCTACAGTGATCTGTACCAAATATAAAACTTAGACATGCCAATCTGGAGAATGACATTTTGGGTCCTTAAAATGCGAGACATGTCTGTTATTATCAAATGTAAAAACTAAGATATATGTTATACCTCCTTCCACGGCTCCTGCCTGAATTCTGGTGGCTCTCAAAGGCAATAGACTCCAGCCAGCTTGGCACTTCCTGCCTGCTCTCACTCAACAGCTCAACCAAGTCCTTGGCCACATTCCGATTCTTCTCATTGAAAAATGAAGTGGCTAAGCCTAAAAACACGAAGGAAGGATATTTAGCACTGAACAAGACATTTGTGCTTGTTTTGGAGCTGAGCAACTGAACCTCAATTTTTATAATTTATTTCTGTTTCTAGGCATTTGCAATTGCAATGATTATATTAAACTGTAGGTGCTGTGATGCTTATCACTTTGCTGCATTATACACAAGCGCAAGTTAAGAGAAAATGGTACATGACATAAGGAAAAACGTTTTTCAGCCTCTGGCTAGAAAATTTTTTAGAGAATTTGTTGTAGTAGCCAGAGAATTCTCCAATGTGTGACACCTAATAAGCATCAACAAACAAAAACCTATAAAGGCCTCCAAACAATGACTAAGGAAAGGAAATTCATTGTAGTTGGCAAGAAAATTAATACACTTTTTGTGAATCATGTGCAAAAACTTAAGTAACCTCACCAGTATGTCCCACACGGCCTGTACGTCCAATGCGATGGACATACTCCTCAATATCAGTTGGCATGTCAAAGTTGATCACATGGCGCACATTTGGAATATCCAAGCCACGAGCAGCAACCTGAAAAGCAAACAAATTAGTCACCCAAGCTTCCAGAGACCTTGAACCAAAACCATCTCATTTATCAGATAACAGTGTTAGTGAACTTACAGCTGTAGCTACCAAGATTGGTGTACGGCCAGACTTAAAGGACCCCAAAGCTGCCTCTCGCTCCCGCTGAGAGCGATCACCATGAATGGAGGTTGCATACCAGCCCTCACTGTGAAGAAAATCATCCAAAGCATCAGCTCCTTTTTTGGTTTCCACAAATACCAATGTCAGAGACTTGGGACCTGGAAGAGATCAAAAATAGAGAAACAATTTCAGAACTAATTCTCTAACTCTTCCTTGATATTTGATATTTTCAAATTTTCCTTGATATCAACCCAACAATATCACATCAAACCTGAAGCATTCAGCAGATCCAGTAAGAATGACCTCTTGTCATATTCATCAACCCACACTGTTTTTTGTGTGATGTTCTCACTTGTGGAACCCACACGCCCCACAGCTAAGAAGATGTAATTCACCAGGAAATCTCTAGCTAGCATCTGAAACACAAAAAAAGGCACGCTTAGGAAAGCAAAAAAGGACACACCAAATGAAGATCTGAAGAGATCTTACTAAGGATTAAAAGCAGAACAATTCTATATTCAGGTTACAGTTACAAATCTAACCTGAATTTCCTTGGGGAAGGTGGCACTGAACATAAGTGTCTGTCGTTCACCAGCTTTAGGCATGGTGTCCTGGTCAACAATGCGGCGGATTTGAGGTTCAAATCCCATGTCCAACATACGATCAGCCTCATCCAGAACAAGGAACCTGATAAACAACCAAATGATTGTTAAAAGGATCAATAACCTTTCCACTCAGCCTTAGATAAAACAGTCAAATCTTCTCCACACTGCAATTCAAATACATTCATGCCTGTTCTGAAAATTTTGTTCTTCTTCCAACAAAACCCATTCCTTTGATTCTGTTAATATTTGACTAGAAACCATAGCACCACAAAATGGTATATTTAGCTATGTGTTAAGTAAATCTATAGCACAAAGAGAAAACTTCAGAAATAACAGATGCCTTTACTAACTTGCAAGAGTCCAGCCCTACTCGTCCCCTGTCCAACATGTCAACAAGACGACCAGGTGTTGCCACCAGGAGATGGCAGCCACGATCCAGTTCCTTCAGTTGGCCACCAATATCAGCTCCACCATAAACAACACAGGCTCGCACATATGACCTGTAAGAGAACTGAAAAAGGACATGTCTTCTTAGGAGGGAACACATAACATAAACACTGTTTCTGAAGTCTTGAAGAAGCACAAGTTCTCTTTCTTTTCTCACAATAGGAGCTATTTGGTTATTAGAAAACACAGTCAGCCATAGCAGTGCAAAAACAAATGACAACGTAAAAAATATTACTTCCATTACCTTTCTAGATTCCTCAAAGATTTGACAAGCCAGTTCCCTGGTGGGTGCCAGAACCAGGCAGTGTGGAAACTGCTTTCGGCGACCCTGATGCCGGGCCTGAGAAATGGCACAAACATTTAAATTTCAATATAATATTTTATTCAAAGAGAAGTAATTTAAAGGTAAAACAACTTTTCCAGCTGGAATGTCCAGGGGTTTCATTAACATTTGCAGCAGGAGGGCAACTGATTTTCAAAGGCAGGTAAAACTTTTTGAACTTAACTTTATTTGTGAGAAACTGTTGTAAATGCTGCTAGAAAGCGCTCAATACACGAGTGTAGAGCGAAATACAATTCAAACTGGCTAAAATGAAACACACATGATTCCCTGTTACTCTGAGTTTTTTGCTTTCGCACTCGTCAGACAGATTTAATGGAAAACATTCCTGTGCACTAATTTATATACGCTGATCTATATTCAAAAGGGTAGGTGCTGATTACAATAGGTTGTTTTTATATAATATGCACAATAGGTGAGAAAAAGCAAAAATTACAGTTAATGTGGATATATAAAGGATAATGAGAATGGGTGTGAGTGTAATAGCAAAAGTTTATTGTAGCAGGGGAGCCTTACCTGTTCTTTATGCTCCCCTGATACAATAAACTTTTGCTAAAACACTCACACCCATTGTCTCATTATCCTTTATATATCCACATTAACTGTAATTTTCGCTTTTTCTCACCTATTGTGCATATTATATAACAACAACCTATTGCAATCAGCACCTACCCTTTTGAATGTAGATCAGCGTATATGAATTAGCCCACTGGAATGTTTTCCATTAAATCTGTCTGAACAGTGCGAAAGCACAAAACTCAGAGTAAACAGGGAATCATGTGTGTCTCATTTTAGTCAGTTTGAATTGAACTTTATCAGATAAACTTTCCTTCAGATGGTCAAACCAGGTAATAATAATAATAATAATAATAATAATAATAATAATACAAGACTTTTATAGCAGCCATGCTAGAGTTCAGAGCACTGTGCAGCTCTATGGATAAGAAATAAGATAAAGATGACAAAAACAACTTATTAAAAGTATTAAGCAAAAACCTAATGACTAAATAAAGACTTATCAAATAACTGAGTCTTCAGGTTGGATTTAAATGTCACAAGTGACAGTGCTTGCCATATGGTGTCCGGAAGCTGATTCCACAGATATGGAGCTATACAACTAAAGGATCTGCCTCCATAAGTCTCAAGCTTGAAACAAGGGACTTGTAACAGTTTCTTATCAGATGAACGCAAAGCTCTAGGTGGTTGACATTGTACAAAAAAATCAGATATGTATTGAGGTGCTAACGCTTTCAGGGCCTTATAGGTAAATAGTAATATTTTAAAGATTATACGTTGCTTTACAGGTAGCCAGTGAAGCTCTTCAAGGACTGATGTAATTCTGTCATATTTTTGAGTGCAGGAGATGAGACGGCCTGCAGCATTTTGTACCCGCTGAACCTTATCTAATAATGTTGTGGCAATTCAGCCAACAATGAATTGCAATTGTCCAGCTTAGACAGTGCTCGAAATTAGCGGTCGCCCGGTCATCTGAGGCGACCAAATAGTTTACCGGGCAACCAATTTTTAGAAAAATTAAGAGGCTGGTTGTCCGGGGGAAAAAACAATGGACAACCCAGCCAAAAATAGAAAATAAATTAACCATAAACAGCACCTGACCTACATGATGGTTTTGTTTTGTCAATGTCCGGTAGTGTGAAGTTAATAATAATTTGCCTCAGCTAAGCGTTTTCATGTGTTTTGGATATCTGTAAATTTTATAAAACATTGACAGGTACAAAAATGTAGGAGACAAAAACAAAGTTTCTTGTCTGGAGGTGATCAAGATCACAGAAACCATTTTGAATATGCCACAACTTAAACCCAGACTTGCGCAAAAACCATTGCCGCACACTAAGAACTATGGGATTAGTTCAAGCTTGACCACCATGTGATTTTCTACCCGGCAACCAAGGATTCATCAGGGCAACCAAATTCATGGCTTTGGTTGCCCAGGTTTTGAAATAGGGACAACCTGGATTTTTTTTTAATTTTGAGCACTGTTAGATGTTATAAAAGCATGAACTAACGTTTTGGTATCTTTCTGAGTAAGACATTTCCTGATTTTAGATAAATTGCGTATGTGAAAGAAAGCTACTTTATAGATATTTTGAACTTGATGCTCATGATTCATAACATCATTAACATTACTCCTATGTTTCTAGCTGACTCAGTTGAAACTGCCCTGACACCAGCTATTTTGATGTCACATATTGGTGGTTGTGGGCGATGTTTGGCATGTATAACCAAAAACTAAGTCTTATCGCGATTGAGCCTAAGACTATTGCATGCCATCCATGCATAGATCTCTTTAGCACAGGCCTCCATTTTCAACAGAGCAGCACATTCATCATTAGGCATAAATGGCACATAAATTTGGCAATCATCCACATACAGGTGGAACTAAAAGGCCATGTTTTCGAATTATGTCACCAAGGGGGGCCGTATATAAGGTATAAAGGATTGGACCCAGTACTGATCCTTGCGGCACTCCCCATTGAAACTCAACAGACAATGATCTAGCATTTTCAATTTGGATAAACTGTCTGCACCCCTTTAAATAGGACACAAACCAATGGAGAGCATTTCCCTTGATGCCATATCGATAGTTTAGTCAACTTAATAAGATGACATGGTCAACCGTGTCAAAAGCAGCCACAAGGTGGGAAAAACTGTCCTCACAACTGGTCAATTTACCTGGTGCCCGGCCCTTAATGAAACTCCTGAATATCAAAATTGGACAAAAAAAAAAAAAACAAATACATGTACAACCATAAAAAAATGGAGAACAGCATCTCCTGCTTACATCAGGTAGGGGAGGAGGACCCTCCTCAAAAATCCTGCTGAGAATTGGAATCAAGAAGGCAGCAGTCTTCCCAGAACCTGAAATAAAAGTAATTCAAATCATTCTTTTTGCTAACACTCCATGAGATATGAGATTTACATGTATATCCTTTGCTTCTAATGGTAAAAGAGGTTCTTTAATGAAAGGCTATTCTGTTTATTTAATTGCAGTTTTTCATAGCATCCCCATTGTAACTGTTAAAGGATAAATCAATCTTACCGGTCTGGGCACATGCCATTAAGTCCCTCTTCTTCTTCACAATAGGTATTGCATACTTTTGAACTGGAGTGGGCTTGGTATAATTAGCCAGCTACAAATAGAGAGTAAATAAAAAATAAATTCTCTCTAATTAGCAGTTTTGCTTCCTTTAGTTTCAATTGATGGTAGACTTCAAATGTATTTTTAGTCTTTAGAAGAGTTCTGTCATAACCAACACAGGCTATTATAGCAGAGATAAAAATATGCACAAACTAGCAGACAAGTACACCATACCTCAACATTGTTGCACAAGATTTCCCCTAGTTCACAGTCTGTAAACTACAAAAAACAGAACTCTGTTATCATCATGCAATACATTTGAACACATTTATCACACAAAATTTTATAATCTTTGACAAAGTACACCTCTCAATAAACACTTGAGAGTAAAAAAAAATCTCCTCCATGTTATTTACTTGAACAATCAAATGAGATTTTACACGTTATGTCTCTTTCTAGTCACTATGGTTTACTATCAGCAGTGGTTGAGGTATGTCCAGTTCAATTGTCCGCATCGACTAGCTGTCCTAAACTGAACAGATATCAAATCAAGAATTTTGATTTCAGTGAGTTGACAGCCTACCGACTCAATGTTTTTAGGGACATCCTGTCCAGTGGCTTCCACAGGAATATCTTCATACTTATCAAAGTTTATTCCAGTGTTGTGCTTGTTGAAAAGCTCTCTAAAAGACAAAGTATAATTTATTTTAAAGCCATTACCAATTTGGATCAATCCCAGATAAAGCTTTCCATGTGCGTTGTAAAACCTCTAACAAAATGGAAATGATTGTTCTCTGAATAATCAAGGACTCTTATTCATGGGAGAATGGACCCTCCTCGAGACAAAATCCTACTAAGAGAACTACGATTATGAGAGATGTATGACAGAGAGTAGGAAGGACTACTATTGAGTGTTCAGAGAAAAAGAGCTCAGCCTTTCTATAGTGATTACCTTTCAATGCGGTCATTCTTGGGCAACAGCTTAGACCAATCTTCTGGTGGTGGCTGAGTCGCTCTGTTGTAGTCTGCGGAGAAAAATGTTTCCAATCAACAAGAAATTAAGGCAGGACAAAACAGCAAAATCGCTTACTGATGACGTGTTTGTTGCACATGTATATTATTACTGCTCACCATTGCCACTTCCTCTGGTGGGAGGAGGACCTCGGTTGTCACCCCTCTCTCTCCAGCTGTTTCCTCCTCCTCTGCCTCCACCATAGTACTGTCCTCCTCCCCCATAGTATGGACGTCCACCCCCTCGTGGAGGATACCCACCATAGAAGTTTGGCTGCTGTTGGTAATACCCATCTGACAGAAGATACAATATATTACATAGTAATCAAAGAAAATTAATAAAATAACTTTTTGCCAGGCCTTGTTATCATCTGCAACATCATTGCAAGACTTAGCTGACATGTTCACATCCTCTTCATCAAAACAAATTAGATCCTGTGATGTTTCACTATGTTGGATACAATTGCTTAGTTGAAATCACTCACTCCCATACACTCAAATTTGATATCAATTAATATCCAACCGAGCAAACCTCTGTAGGGTTCTCTGGGTTGAAAGTCCCTTGGCTGGTTGTAGCCATGATCATGGTACCCCCCTCTACCATGAGGAGGACCTGGTCTACTACGAAGGTGAGGAGGCACGTATCGTTCTGAAAGAGTATAGCAACTCAATTAACTCCTACTGCTGTACATTTAATTTAAAACATTTCAACTTTGTTTCCAGAATTGATCAAAAGTGTTAACAACATAATCACTAGTCTGCCATGTCTAAGAGATGTTTCCTGGGGGTATAACATTTCTCTAAAACATCACTTAAAAAAAAAATTCTAGGAATTTGCACACCAGTGTCTTAACTTAATTGGTAACTCTTTCGGAAACTATTCAGAGTTTCACGGGGATTTAAGGAACTTCATTGAATGATATCAAGACACCATGGCCATCTAAACTTTAGAAAACGACTTCCATAACTGTTATCACTGAAATGATAATTGTTCAAAAAAAAAAAAAAAAAAAAAAAAAAAAAAAAAAACCTTGGTAAAATTATTGTACATTTTTCCGCCAGAAATCCTCAAATTCCAACTCACAATGACCTTTAAGGGCGAAAGTTTACTTGAGGCTCTTATGAATTTCAATGAAGCGTTTTCTGAGCCTTTTCAAGGCCTGGTTTAATTTAACCCGCAAAGAAAGACTTACATCATAGATTTCAGCTGTGCGAGCAAATATTTCTCAATT